GACGAGTGCAAGTCATCAGGTACATGAGGCAACCCACCAGCTCTGCGTAGGGACCACTGGGCTCTGCTGATTCCTCAGGGACTGGAGCCGAGAGCCTGTGATCTACTGGAAGAGGTGTGGGCTGTGTGGAGGAGCACGAAGACCGAACCTCTGAAGGACCTGGCGTACCAAGTGTGACTGGGTGAGAGTGATCGTGCATGCTGCTCTGTCTCTGGAGATCTGCAGGCCCAAGTAGTGGCGCAGCTCTCCTAGGTCAGTGCAGGTATGCCTCCTCAGCAGCTCAGCCTTCACAGAGGCCAGCGCGGTGGTGTCTGCAATGGCAAAGACCAGATCGTCTACGTAGACAAGGATGCAGAACGAAGTCTGGCCAGAACGAACAAAGAGCGAGGGTTCTGCGGAAGACGGAAAGAACCGCAGGTCTGCAAGCGTAGCACGCAGCGTGTCGTGCCACTCGCGGGGAGCCTGACGCAAGCCGTAGACTGTAAGGGGAGGAGACGGCAGGGGAGGCACAGACACGTGGTCAGGGGACGGGAGGCCGAGCAGGCGAAGGGCTGACACCGGCGGTGACTGCTGCTGCGGCGGCACGACACCGACACCGGGACGGCAAGCTGCTCCACGGCTACCTCTGGAACACTCCACTCCAGCACCCCCGGAAGGAACACCCCCAGGGCCCGAAACCCCGCGAACACCGGTACCACCCCCAGGCCCACCGGGACAAGCCACGACAGGAACCCCAGGACTAGTACCCACCCCAACGCCAGCACCCCCAGAGGCAACGAACTGCTGCTGCGTCGGCTGCGGCGACGGCTGCAGCGGCGGCGGCGGCGCTGACGGCGGTGGTGACAGCGGCTGCGACAGCGGCGGCGACAGCGATTGCGAAAGCGGCGGAGGAGGTGACGCTTGGGAAGGGGCAGGCGGCGAGGACTGCACTGCAGGGCCACCAGAGTCAGCAGACTCCTCGACCGGGACAACCGACGGGAGGGGAGTGACGTGAGACACACCAGACGTTGCAGGATGGGGAGGGGGAAGGGGGGGTGCAGGGGCGACCGGGGAAGGGGTGACCAGGAACAGGGGGGGAGTAACCGGGGGACCTCTGTGGGGGAAGCGGCGGTAGAAGGAGACGGACTCGCCAAAGGTGACGTCACGGGAGTGAAAGAACCGGTGAGACGGCGGGTGGTAGAAGTGCCAGTCGGACGCGTCAAGGGGGAAACCGAGGAAGACACAAGGAAGGGTGCGGGCAGTGAGCTTGTCCGTGCCAGAGGCACGGACGTGAGCAAGGCAGCCCCAGACGTGAAACGCAGAGGCGTCACCAGGAGACCCGGACCAAAGAAGTGTCGGCAAAACCTGCGGCTGCTGGGGGTGCGGCCACAGGTTAAGCTGGTGAGCGGCGTAGCGAACAGCGAACAGCCACAGAAAATGGGGTGCACCGGCATGGATCATGGAGGTACGGGCCACCTCCATGACCAAGCCAATGCGTCGCTCAGCGACCCCATTGTGCTGTGGGGAGTCGGGCAGGGTGAACGTCTGGGTGATGCCCTCCGCACGACAGAAACGACCAAGGACACCAGAGGCAAACTCGCCACCACGGTAGGAGTGGAGACGCAAGACAGGGAGACCGCGGTGGACACGCGCAGAGACAAGCCACGGGATGAGAACGTTAGGCACGTCGGCCTGCCGCTCCACGGGGAACACTATGGTGTAGCGCGTGTAATCGTCGACAAGCACTAGGAAGTAGCGCTCTCGACGCGGCCCATGGACGGGGGCGAGGCCCCAGACGTCCATGTGCAGGGTCTGTAGCGGTGCGGCGGTAGGGGGGAAAGAGGAGGAGTGAGGGGCACGGCGGAGCCGGCCCTCGACAGAGGGCGTGCACGGTGGTGCTAGGGAGGAGGGCAACTCGTGGAACGGCCCTGGGAGACCTAGGACAAGACCGTGCTGTGACATGTGACGCAGGCGCTGGAGGGCGGGGTGACCTAGACAGTGGTGCCACAAAAGTGTCGGATGAGTGAGCGACCGACAGGAGCAGGCATCAGCAACCTGGGTAGATGCAGCCACCTGGGAAGACGTCCCTACCAGGGGGGTCGCAGTGTCCAGTGTGAACAGGCCGGACACCGGGTCCCGGGGGAACGTGGTGAGGGGGGCACCAGTGGCGGCCTCGGCACAGACAGCGTACCGCTCATGACTAGGGAACGTAGTGGTGACGCCAAGGTCCTGGAGGCAGCCGACACCAACTAGGTTCCTGGAGAACGAGGGGATGTGCAGGCCTGTAAGAGAGCCCAAAGGAACCGCCGGACAGGGAAGGGTGGTGGAATTGCGAGCGACTACCGGGCCGGAGGAGGGGTCGACAAGGGAAATTGCAGCAGGAGTAGCAAGCGGCGTCAGCGTAGTGGAGTCACGGAAGAAACACCGAGAAGCGCCAGAGTCGAGGGTGAAGGAGAGCGGAGCGGTGGTGTCTGGAGATTGAGCAGCGACAGTAGAACCTAGGCTAAACAAAGCAGGGGATCCTACGCCTGACGCAGCAGGGGAGGCAAGACTAGACATGCGTACACTAGGCAACAAGGGGTAGTAAGAAGCAGTTACGCTAGAGTCATCAGCATACATCACATGCAGGGCAGCAACAATCTCATCCATGTCCATATCAAAGATCTGAACGCTACGGCGAAGCAAGCTATTCCAGTCGGGGAGGTCGGGCGATGGGCCGAAGCGCTGACGAAACAGGTCGTCCAGGCGACGGAAACAACGGACGGAGGTGTGACCGATCTTACCGCAAACAGAACCTCGGCGAGGTCCGGTCTGGAGCTGGTACTGACAGCGCGCGTCACTCGACCCGCCACCCGGCAGCCCACCACGCGCACGACCACCACGTCCACCGCCACCACCAGCGCCAGGCCACCTCTGCTGCTGCGGCTGCTGAGGCTGGTGCGTGTCCGGCTGCGACACCTGCGCCTGCTGAGGCGGCTGCTCGGCTGCACTTGTCAGGGTCCCCTTGTCAGCGCTACCACTAGGCAACCCGACTCCACCACCACGTCCACCTGCACCTCCACCCCCACCGCCGCGCCCAGTCTTGGGGCGGCGGCCCTTCCCGGAACGGATCTGCGCTGCAGCTGCGGACTCAGCCACAGTGACAGAACCGCCGGAGAAGGTGCACTGAGCGGGGGCACAACCCTGAAAGATAGGGACCGGCACAGTACCGCTTGTCTGGGCGATAGAGCGCTGACGGGCCTCTATGGCAGTCAGGGTGTCGACAAAGTCAGTGAGAGTGAGGTCACCAGGGTGGCTGCTAAGGAAGTGGTCGCGGGCAGTAGCAAGACGATCAGGGAGGCGCGTGGCAAGCAGGTAGAGGGCAGAGCAGAGGGGCGGCTTAAAGGCTCTAAGCTGGGTCTCAGTTCAGGCAGCACGCCAGGTCGCGTCTATCGTGCGCAGGTGAGCGGCTAGGTCAGCGACAGTAGGGAAGGACGCAAGATCAGGGAAGAGCATCGGCAGGAACAGGCGACCTACAGAGGCAGCAGGCGGGGTGGAATAGCGCTTAATGACGGCCTCTAGGAACTCCTACACAGTCATGACTGACCTAAAGCGTGGGCGCTCAGACAGGGGGAGGGCATGACTGATCGCAAGCTGCGCGACAGCGTCACGCGACAGCCAAACTGAGCGGGCAAGGGCAGCAGGTGCAGCGGACGAGGGGTCAGCGGGCAGGGGAGCCGGGGGGTCAGGGCAGGGGAGCGTACCGTCAAGGTGGACCGCCAGGGAGTGGCCATCCTGCCGCTGACCAGTGAGGTGACGCTGGAGGTCGACTAGCCACGTGTCAAACTCGATCGGCTGTCCCTCTGCGTCGAAGCGGGGCACGGAGTCCGCCATCAGGAGCGATGTAGCAGCGGCGCAATGCTGCACGGTGCAGAGCGGTGCAGTGCGGTGCTGTGCGGTGCAGTACGGTGCAATGCGGTGCTGTGCGATGCAGAGCGGTACAGTGCGGTGCAGTGCAGTGTTGTGCGGTACAGAGTGGTGCAGTGCGGTGCAGAGTGGTGCAGAGCGGTACAACGCGGTGTAGTGCGGTGCTGTGCGGTGTAGAGCGGTGCCTGGCGGTGCTGGTCGGGAAGGACGAGCCGGGCACGAGTCGGAGGTGGGCGGCGGTGAAACGAACGCGTGGCCGGCGCGAAGCGGGCGTGAAGAGGCCGGCTAGGAGAGGGCGCGGGGCCAACAAGGGGCGGGCGCAAGGGGCCGGTACGGGGCGAGCGCGTCGGGGGCGCGAGGGGCCGGCTAGGGACGGGCGCGACAGCTGGGACGGGCGCGATGGATGGGACTGGCGCGACGGCGCTGGGAGACGGCTAGGATGGCCGTGGCGGCTCAGGGGGCCGCCTAGGACGGGCGCGGCGGCTCAGGGGGCCGGCTAGGACGGGCGCGACGGCTCACGGGGCCGGCTAGGACGGGCGCGACGGCTCAGGGGGCCGGCTAGGACGGGCGCGAACGGCGCAGGGGGCCGGCTAGGAACAAGCGCGACGGCTCAGGGGGCCGGCTAGGACGGGCGCGACGGCTCAGGGGGCCGGCTAGGACGGGCGCAAACGGCTCAGGAGGCCGGCTAGGACGGGCGCGAACGGCTCAGGGGGCCGGCTAGGACGGGCGCGACGGCTCAGGGGGCCGGCTAGGACATGCGCGAACGACTCAGAGGGCCGGCTAGGACGGGCGCGACGGCTCAGGGGGCCGGCTAGGACGGGCGCGAACAGCGTAGGGGGCCGGCTAGGAGCAGGCGCGACGAGCTAGGGGCGGCGCGACGAGGGCCTAAGGCGGAAGCGTGGGCGGCGGGACCTACCAAGCGTGATACCATCTTAACGTAGGATTGAATGTCGATAGAAAATAGTACAAGGGTATAAGCCTATGTGTTGTACCCTCTAAGATACGAGCCTATACAGTCTATACAAACATAAACTATATATATGTTTGACACTGATGTGGAAAAGCAGTTCTTTTTAGCACCCTTATAAACCTAAGTAAAAAACAAAAAACACCCTTACAGAAAAAGTGGTCGAGGGTTCATACCCTTACATGAAAGACTACTCCAAATCCTATCCAGAGGCCTGTCCTGTACGTTGACAACAGAGCCATGATCCTTCTGTATCAGGAGCATCGATTTGAGGGCAGAGCGAAGCACATTCAGCTGTGGTACTTCCTCATGCGCGAGCTATAGCAGCGCCACCAGGCCCTTTTTCTGTAAGGGTGTTTTTTTTTTTTTTTTTTTTTTTTTTTTTTTACCTAGGTTTATAAGGGTGCTAAAAAAAATTGCGCGAGCTATAGCAGCGCCACCAGGACCGCGTAGTACACTTGGCCTCCGGTGCGAACACAGCTGATATCTTTACCAAAGCGCTTGCGCCTTAAGATCATCAGCGGCACTGTGTACAGCTTGGTCTAGTTCCAATAGCTCCTCACTTGCTAGGACCCTGATTGTGTACTACTCCTTCTATGATCTTGACTGGCCTTGTGGCTCTTGTTCCAGTGGCTGGACTAGTAGTGCCGCCTTGAGCTGTGTGCCTCTCGCTAGTCTAGGGGGTGGGTCAATTTACACATATTCACATATGTATAGCTATAGGCTAGAAGGGTTCGTGCTCTTAGAGAGTACAACACCCAACCATATGTTCCTCTTTATCCGTCATTTCTAGTCTTTCTGCAATTCTACCACCACCCTGATGGACTTTCAATAGGGGGTATATCCCAGATTTCTTTCTGTTCTCCCTGTATTCGGCTAAGTCCTCTGATAAAAACCAGAGGCATGTTCTCTCAACTGAAGCGCTGGTACAATGATTTGTGCAGTAGTGCTAGTGCACGCTTGAGCCTCGGGCGTGAATAGCTAGTAATTTCCTATCTCCTACTCAATCATCCGCCACTTCTCTGACAGCGAATGCATGAGGCTCTTGGAAGCAGACGACACTCCACTAGTTCCCTCGGACCACTCGCTCCTCCCAAATGTGTCCGTGCTGCTGCCCTCGCCACCCATGTGCCTCCCCTCCAAGCGCAGGCTGGGTTCGACCAGGGATGAGTGGCCATTGGCGGTGCAGTGGTGGAGGAGGTGGTGCAGGCGGCGCGCGACGTCCTTCATGTGGGGGCGGCGGGAGGCGGGCATCTTGAGGCAGTCGAGAGCGATGTCTGCCAGCTCCACCACCGCCTCGTCCGGCGCCTCCAGACTAGCGTCCTTCAGCGCGCCCAGCTCGTACCCCTGCACCTTCTTAGCGGCCTGGCAATGGGAGAGGACAAGGGGGTTGACTGAAAGGGGGAACACCACTTGGGTGCCATGGTCCGTACATGGCAGCCACTGAAATGGTTTGTGAAGAAATTTTATGGTAACCGGTTTCGACTTGAGAGCCTTCTTCAGATCACAATAGAGAACAAGCAGCAACCAGCTGCCACAAAATTACCACCGAATTTCTTCACAAAGTTTTTCAAACAAGATTTTCTATTTCACCCTGACAGTGGGAGAGGATTTGGGGGGGGGATAAGGGAGGGCAATGCAACACCCAACGCGCACACCCGCACCTTCTGAGCAGCCTGACAATGGGAGTGGGAGGGGGGGGAAGGGGGGAATAGGTCAATTGAGGAAAAATACTTGCATCATGTCATCCGCGAGTGTCTTCCGGCATTCGCCCTGGAGACACCAAGTTAGGTTTGGCTGACACCCAGTTGCCCCTAGATGCGGATGGCATTCGAGGATGACACAGACAGCCGCATGAATTTGTCTTGAGTTGACCACGAAGGTTGAGGGCTAGTAGGACATCCTCCAGGAGCGAGGGAATAGGTTCTGTACTTGGCGTGCCACTTGTAAAACACCTGGCCCTGATGACACTCACCCAGTTGCTGATATGGCTGTCAGTGCCCTCCACTGCCGCCTTCTGCCTTGTCAGCAGCTCAAGCAGAACCACGCCAAAGCTGCAGGTGGGGAGACGAGATGAGAGGAGAGCAAGCATCTTAGAAATGCTTTTGAGTATTGAGGGTCTGTGAAGGTCTAATGAGGCGACATCAGGTCAAGGATTGGTGTAAGGAATGTCGCAAGGGACGGGATGCGGTGCTCCCACATGCGAAAATAGGAAAATTGCGAAAATTGCTGTTGGTTGCGGTGACAACATGCATACCCACCTGTAAACATCGCTCTTTTCTGAGACCACGTGGGTTCGGTTGTAGTCGGGGTCCAAGTAGCCTGGGGTGCCGGCCACTCGAGTGCGGTCATCGCCGCCCTCTGCATGGCTGAGCAGCTTGAGCAGCCCGAAGTCGGCAATCTTGGCCTGGAAGTGCTCCCCCACGAGGATGTTGCTGGGCTTGAGGTCGCGGTGCACGATGGGCGTCGCGAAGCTGTGCAAATAGGCCACTCCCTCCGCTGCGCCCACCGCCAGCTGCACCCGCTGCTGCAGGGACAGGGGGGCTGGGGGGAGATCGGATAGAGTTGGGTGAGACAACATATTTTGCTGCATTTTTCTCTAGTGAGTTAGCGCATCCACAGCACCCAATGCCCAACACCTCTACAACTTTCCCAAAATTCCTAAGCCAACCCCAGTGCCTCCTTCCAACACCCGCTTGCGCTAGCACTGGGTTCTGAACACTAGCCTGCTCTGATACCATGTCAAAGCGGAAGGTTGACCATACTCTTGGAGTGGTGGATGTGATACTTGAGGTCCCCGTTGCCCACGAACTCGTACACGAGGATCTGCTCCTGCTGGCCGCTCTCCATGTTCTGATGCAGGCAGAAGCCCAACAGCCGCACCACATTCTCATGCCGCAGCGACGCCATCGCCCGCACCTGGCAGTTGGGGGGCGTGGAGGGAAGTGTGCAATACGCAAAGAGCACAAATGGTTCCAAACACAACGTCGAGTGCACCAAATATCAAGCCACAACTGTTACAAGTACGATAGACTTCGATGTGCCTAAAACGAAAGATAAAGTGCACCGTTGGATTTCGGCCGGGCGCTTGAAATACTCGTCACAAGCTAGTCCATGCACGAAAAGAGAAGGCATAGATGGGATACGGTGAGGCTTGCTGTCATCGTTAATGGATTCTCACAGCATGCTTCTTCACACAGGAACCCAGCCAGACTGCATTCTCCCCACCTCGGTCTGGAAGTCGTTGGACATGAGTTTGCTGCGCTTGACGGCCCACAGCTCGCCCGTGCTGGACACCCCCTTGTACACCGTGGCAAAGCCGCCCTTCCCCACCACATTGCCGCTCGCCCAGTTGTCCGTTGCCCGCAGAATCTCCCCAATGCTGAACTCCCGACACACGTCCAGGCTGCTCCACCTCCCTGCCACAAGCAATGGCCGGCCAAAAGAGTCAGCGCATAGAGCTCAAAGGCTTCTCACATTCACTAGATTTACCATGAAAGGGGGGAATGGGGCCTAGTGAAGGGGAGGGAGGGGGGGGGGGGGGGGGGCAACCTTACTGCGTTGTCTGGGCCACAGCTTGGTTGCTTGCCTAATGTCTTTGCAATTGGGGTTAAGAGGAGAGTGGAGCGGGAGGAAGGGCTCACTGCGTTGCTTGGGCCAGAGCAGCGCCACAATGAGAGCGAGGAGGAGAGCAAAGGCGGCAGCAGAGCCCACAGAGATGCCCACCACTGCGCCTGTGGAGAGCGCTGGAGAGGATGGGGGAAGGGAGGAGGGCGGTTGGAGCAAGGGCGAGAGGAAGAGAAAGGTGGTCTGTCACCATAAAGACTCCAACCAAGGACTGGTTCTTGAACTCCTCTTAATCATAGCAATCGTCATTCCACATAATACTATAATTTCCACTAAAAGTTGTCCAGTTGATAACTCCGTCTGCTCCGTTCAATTCTCTTATCACGAGGGTACTAACCTAGTTACCCTAATGCCTCCACAAAATTTGGCACCTTTGCGTTTGACTCTTATTTAAACGGTATTGTCATAATCGTGGGTCAAGTAACGACAGCTCTAGTCTCAAAACAAACTCTATATCCAAGTTTGCAAATAAAGCCATCATGTCTCGATTTCTTTCTGCTAACCCGCGAGCATCATTCCCAATCTTCGGGAGCTCTCGAAGAATTTACCATATACCATGTCTGGAAATGAACTTTAGTCTCTCCTATTGTTATCGAGCCATGTGCACAACATACCTGCTGGGGGGGCGGAGAAGGGCGGGCGCAGGTGGAGCCGAGAGAGCCATTGGCAGTGACGTATCCGTGGTCACACTCACACGTGAACCCAGCCCCTGCTGCCCCCGCCTGCGGTGGCACACACGCTCCGTGCCCGTCGCACGGTCCCAGCTCCCGCGACATGCTGCAGAATGCCAGACACGCGTCGTTGCTGCGCTGCGTCTCATTCGCCGTGCACTCCAGCTGCGCGCTCAACGTGAAGCAGTTCAAACGCAGACTTGCGGAGCCCTGCTTGTTGGCCCCTGGGAGAGCTTGGAAAGGACGTTCGCCACAACGCCCCATCCTATCCATCCCGACCTCGACAATGTCAAGGGCATCGGGCTCGATGCTTCCCGAGGGGCAGAACTGGCAGCCATCGGCATAGAGCATGGGGTCACCGTAGAAGTAGTTGCCTGCGATGTTGAGCAGAGCGCCATCGTTGGGAATCATGCCGTGGAAGTTGCTGTTGATGGGCCCGTAGAAGCTGTTGTTGCTGATGTCACTGGAGGGGAGCACGAGAAGGAACGGAAGGGAGGACAGACTTTCTGGGCCTCATTTCCCTGGTGTCATGTGCGGTAATCTGGTGTGCAATCTGGTTCTGGGCCTCATTTCCCTGGTGCTTGGGAGTTTTGCCTGGTTTTAAGGTACCCTGCGTCGGAATGAAATGCCTTTGTAGACGTGCTGTGACAAAAAATCCAATTCCTCACAGGCAGACCCTTGATCAAGGCCTTTGTTTCTGCCATGGTTATATAAAGGCTAGGGTTGCTCCGGCGAGGCACCCAGATTCACTCACATCCTGTGCAGGCAATGCTCGTAAAGACACGAAGGAAATTCCCCATAGAAGTAGTTGTTGCGGATATACCTGAAGTGAGCGTGAGGCCAAGAAGAAAGGGCATTTAGAACGGGCATCAGCGGGTCCCTGTGTTTCCGACAGAACAAGGCAAATATGTTCTGACATGCGGAAGCAGTGCTGTGGGCAAAAGTGATACTTCGGTTAGCATGAATGTTCAGAAGGGCCATGGTCAGAAGAGAGTAGTACATGATTATTAGCTGGGTGAGATCGCATATGGAAGAAGGGAGCTTGCCCGTGAGCTGGTTGTCATACACAGACCTGCCAGCACCCAACCAACAGCAAGTCATGAGAGCTCTCAAGTGGGGGGAGAGCAAGTGCAGTATCGTGTCGTGTTTCAAATGCCCTTCACTTCAGCAGTGTGCCATTGTCCAGCACTGAAGAAAAAGGTTTGCATCGAATAACTGAAGATGGTGTAGATTTGCTCGCGCTACACTGGGAACCCATAGAAGCATGCATGGTGGCATGGCATGTCACGTAAAACACATACAATCCGATAAGGTTGGAGAGCGCGCCAAGGGAAGAGGGCAAGGGCCCTGAGATGCTGTTGGAGGCGAGGTCTCTGGTGGGGGTGGATGGATGAGGGATGCGTGACACTTGACACTTCTGCTATTTATTTAGAGAAGAAACCGTTTCCCGAAGTTTGCGGTGCGGACATATGTTTTGAGAGGTATGGGGTTGTATGAAGAGAAGAAACCGTTTCCCATATGGGTAGCTACTGTACAACTCCGGGGTTGTGCTGTGCTGTATCAAGAGATAGGGTGGCCTAGGTGCTTAAATTGGGGGAAGACACCCAAAGATTCGAAGTTGGTGCTTCAATCAATCCCATTCCCGACTCGGAAGGTGCCGCCCTTCCACTAGGGGGAACACACGCTTTCCAAGCCCTCGTCATGGGTGCCTTGACTATGGGTGACTCGAGCTCGGATTTGGCCATACCAGGACAAATGGTGCTTATACTTCCAGGCTCCAGCCACGAGTCACCCATTAAGTCCTGGATTCCTACTTAGCTCCCAACTCTCATTCACTCTTGGGCCGCTCTGTTTGCTCTCGTACTATGGCAGTCGCCTTCCTTCCCCCCTCAGTCATGCCATTGGCTCAAATGTTGCCCGCTTTCAGGCTTTCCATCAAACGAATAACCAGAATGGCTTTCCATTCTTGCATTCGAGATGATCGTACGTGAGCTGAATAGGTGCCATGCCAGCCAGGGGGTGGGACGCAGTGCATTTCGAGCCGACTCATATGCACCTGAACATGTGCCAGGGAGTGGGCTGCACGTGGATGGAGCAAACCATGACGGCGTGGAGAGAACGAGCATGAGGGTAGCGGTGGCACATGGCACAGGGCTGGTGTGCAGGAAAGTGTGATTACAGGATGGCAAGGCTGTTTAACGTGACCAGAGCTGTAGGGATGGTTCCTGAAAGCTGGTTCTTGCGCAACGATCTGCAGGGATGGTGGATGTGTGGGTGAGGGCACGTGACAAGAAATAAGAAGCACAGTCGATGGTAGTGGTTGCTGCCTCGCTTGCAACAAGAGAAGGCAAGCAATCTTCACGGTGAGTTCACGTCCGGAAGGTTTCAAACAGCACGCTAACAAACTGTATCCTTGTCTCAGGACGACGGGGGTCACTTGCTTGAACGGTCTTTTAGAATTTTCCAGTAAAAGGCAGAACAACACCCAGGCTTTGCTGCCTTGAACACGTGCTAAAGACGGCTCCTGACTTGAATCACTCTAAGGGAAGCATTTCCATATGCGGAAAACAAAAGGACGGCATGGCTGGAATTTTGATTTGCACATGTCTGCAACGTTAGATGCTTCTGGAACAAGTGGAAAGACACAGCAAAGGAAAGAAACTCACAGGTTCATAAGAGAAGATAGTTCGCTGATTGACTCTGGAATGGGCCCAGTCAAGTTGTTGCTTCCTAGCCCTCTGCAACCACACGGGGCGAACGAACAAAAGAAATCACATGAAGAAGACGAAGAAAAAGCATGGAAAAACTTTAATCCTATGGTAGCTATTTATAATGCGGGCATATATATATTCGCCCGTACCAAGTATGTTATGCTCTTGGGTGGGACTTACAGGTAATATAAAGAAGCGTTCCAGTTTGAAAAATCAGGCAGGGACCCTGATAGGTTATTTCCTTCAAGGTTTCTGTTGCCAAAACACAGCCGGACAGAGAGAGGAGTCAAATAAGCATGAAATGGCTTAGAAGCCTAGGCGCACGCAAGGAGGAAGAAAGGTTTGCTGGAATGCCTTGGACACATACAGACCGCCAAGGGAAGTACTTGATAAACTGCTTGGCAGGCGTCCATTCAAACGGTTGTTGTTCAAGTCTCTGAAGGTTGCACAAGAAGAGAACGGTAATTGGGGACACAGACTCATGGTCATTGGTAGAATATTCCAAGCATATCATTCTTCATTTGCACACAGAATTGGCTAAGGTAGTCTTTGGTTAAACATAGGAGATGTACTACCGCTCTGCCCTGAATCCCTCTTGCAGCCTGGGCTTCGATGTTGATTTCCCAATGCCTTCCTTTGAACCCTGCAGTACCACAATCCCGAGGAATTCCCCCTGGTTTCATATGTTCTTTGGTTCTTTGTTCTTTGAATTGCCATGTCCTCCGCTTCCTGCCCCCTCCCAATCCAAATTGTCTCTAATTAGAGGTCCTCCACACCATAGACATACCGAAGGCCATGCTTTCCAATACATACTGCTACTGTTCTCTGTACGGCAACTCTTTATCAACCCTCCTCTTCCATATACCTAGCTCTTACCCCAACCACCCTTCCCCCTTATCACCCTTTACCGTCCACACTTACAGATATGAAATATACGGAAGGGTGAAGAGCGCCGAAGGAATTTCTTCGTCGAAGTTATTGCCGTCCAGATATCTAACAAATACAGAGACGGGAGATATGCGAGAATAGTCAGCATGTTCCAACGAATGCCAGACATGGTTGAAACGCGATGCGATATTATATCGCATCGCATTTCCTTATATCGCATAGGTTTGTGCTGCGATACTACATCGCATCGCGCGACAATTTTTATCGCATATCATGTTATATCGCAGCGGGTGGGTGCGATAAAAAGGCGATAGAAAAATAACGTGCGATAAAAAATCATCGCACAGCGATATATTTTTTCCTGGGAAAAAAAAATCGCTATCGCCAAAACGCCATACATACGATACGATGCTATGCGATCTAACCATATCGGGCCGTGTGAATGACAAGAGGAGAATTGTAAGCACGGACAGATGAGCAGATAGGCAGACATGCAGAGAGGCGGACAGACAAGTAGTTAAGCTCCATTCAACCGTTCCAAGTAGTTATGTGCTTGGGGCCCATATATATATGGCCGAAATATCAATAGCTAGGTGTCACCTCCATTCCATGCTAGCAGGGGCAATGTTTTGGGCAAGTGATGACATACAGCATGCTTAAGCTTGAGAGCTCGGATATGTCTTCAGGGATGGACCCATGGAATCCATTCTGCCCCAAATCCCTGCAACAAAGGGACGAGTACCCAAGGAGGCAGTCTCTCTGAAACATGTTGGCGAGGAAAATTATTGAAGTGTAAAGAATTAATGACTCCACGCTACGCTACGGTTGAGCAAAACCGGGTAATTACCCGACATGGCCCGGTTTTGCAATACCCGACTTCGGGTCGGGTATTTTTGGATCGGGTACGGGTCGGGTAATTGGCCCAGGACCCTTACCCCGACCTGACGTTTGGGGGCGGGTAATGCAATACCCGCCTGGCGAGTCGGGTAACCCGACCCAGAAAGTGGGTATTTGCACCCGCCACCTACTAGCGGGCCACCTAAGAGCGGGCTAGGCTAGCTAGGGTTTCTGAAAACGCGACTCTCAAATGAGAGTCGCGTTTTCTTGGGGCCGTCCAAGTTCCAACCGACTCCCTGCCTTTCACCGCACTTAACTCCTCCCCATGTAGAAACTCCAACCTTTACCCATGTCTATTCCAACCCCTTCGCTGGCAAAATTCCGCGACGCTATCGCGTGCGATACTTTTATATCGCACATATATCGCAGCGGAAGGGTGCGATAGAAATGCGATATAAAAATATCGCGCGATAAACATTGCATTGCATCGCGCAGTCTGTCTAACGATAGCGACGCAAGGATTGTGGGAGCTAGTGTAGTTTGCTAGTGGGAGCTATGAGCAGCAGGGATTGTGAATGAGACAGAGCCACCCATACACAGTCCCTGCCACTCATAGCTCCCACTAGCAAACTACACGGATCAAGCAGAAGTCCTCTTCTTCGCCATATTTACAAAAAGGGTTTCCAAAATGTCCCACACGCAACTTGTCTGACGTACAAGTCTGCGAGGTTGGTGAGCTTCAACAAGACACTAGGGAAAGTCCCTTTGATGTTGTTTCCTCGGATGAACCTGTATGGAGGAAATAATGACCACGCCACAAAAAGTTTGTGTGTTTCAATTTTCAAACCAGCTAAGGGATTGAAAACAACGAAGCCAATATTGTTTAGATTGAGGATCTTAGAGGTATACTTGGCACTTAAACGTTCTATAAGGATCTTGCAGAGAAGGTTCGTTAGTTAAGGGCTGACAATTCAAAGAGGCGACTCACAGCCCCATGAGTGAAGGTAAGGTTGACAGATCAGGAAAGCTTTCAGAGAAGTTGTTGAAACCAGCATCACTGTGATAATCGAAGAGTCGAAAAGGCATAAAAAACATTCCGATTCAATCGACGGATTACAAAGAAAGAAGACGGGACATGGCAAGTTGAAACTTGAAAGTGTAAAAACTGGAACACTGGGGTGCTGTGATCAGTGGGGAAGGGATACATGTGAGCTTGGGGGCTGAGGGTGCGTTGGCCCACCGCACAATAACGCCCCTCCTAGAACAGTTCTTGAGAGAAAGAATATGAACTAAAGCCGCTTTCCGCTTTGCCATAAACGAGCAAAAACTATCACCAGAACATTACACAAAACTAAGCCAAGTCATCTCGGTGATCACATCAAGCCCTGATGTTAACTGGTTGGTGGAAAGCGACCTGAAAGACTCATATTCAGGGACCAGAAATTATATGCAATGGGCATGGGAAAACAAAAGGGAGAGAGAGAATGACCAAGGGAGAACAAAGGAGGAAGGAGAATAACAGGGGCGGGGAAGGAAGTGAGCAGGATAGAGAGAGTAGAAAGTCTTTCCAGGACCAAGCACCATAAACGCACGTTGTCTCAGCCCCAGACAACAATCAGGTTGTTGGTGTCCCCATTAGCCTAGACTGTCTATCACTTGGGCTGCTTGCACTCAACCACACAAGCTGATCACTGCAGTGCTCTCTTGCCGTGTACATTGGCTGACTCTGTGCAATGCCATGTACCTGCAGCAATGCCACTCGGCAATGCCACTCGCTAATGCCACTGGGCAATGCCACTCGGCAACGCCAGTCGGCAAAGCCACTCGGCAATGCCACTCCGCAAAGCCACTCGGCAATGTCACTCGGCAATGCCACTCCGCAATGCCACTCGGCAATGCCACTCAGCAATGCCACTTGGCAACGCCACTCCACTAGGCAATGCCACTCGGCAACGCCACTCGGCAAAGCCACTCGGCAAAGCCACTCGGCAATGCCACTCGGCAATGCCACTCGGTAATGCCACTCGGCAATTACCACTTGGCAATACCACTCGGCAATACCACTTGGCAATGCCACTTGGCAATAGGCATGAGCAAAACCGGATACAGATGCATTCAGAGTGGTTTGAATTGGGGGGAATTGGTTGGAAGTCAAACCAATCGAATTTCCCCAATCGAATTTGCAACCCAACCTGAATCCAGCCAACTGCACAGCACCACATTGGTTGGAGTTCCAACCAATTGACTCTGGGGGTCAAAGAATCAAACCCCCAGAAACCGCACACAACCCCATCCCAACTAGAAAACCCAACCAACTCCCCACTCAGGCCCCACTCACGACCCACTCACCACACCAGAGCTGTTAAAGATTTGGCGCACCTCATACTCCCTCCCGCAACTCACGTTTTTTGAAGCACTATCTAGGTCGTAGGCTTAGTAGCCCAACAGGGTAGAAAAACGCGGGTAATACTACCCGCTTTTTAAGGAAACCGGGTCGGGTATACCCGGACCCGCCAGGCGGGTATTAAATTACCCGCCCCCAAATCCCGGGTCCGGGCATTGGTCCTGGGCATGTTACCCGACCCGTACCCGACCCGAAAATACCCGACCCGACCCGGTTTTGCTATACCCGACCTCGGGTCGGGTAATTTCGGGTCGGGTCCGGGTCGGGTAATATGTTCACGACCCTTACCCGGACTCGGATTTTGTTAGGCGGGTATTTTAATACCCGCCAGGCGGGTCCGGGTATACCCGACCCGGCATAGCTTAAAGGCGGGTAATGCTACCCGCCCTTTCAATAAGGCCTAAACGAGGTGTTTTTTTAGTTTTTTTTTTTCCCTGTATTCGTCTAACTGTCTCCTAGGGTTGAGACAGCAATGTGGTCATGGGAAAAAAAATTGGCACGCATTTCAGGGGGTTTGTTGCCACCACCACGCTACACCTTACTTGTGTTGCTTCCTCGGGTTTCGTTTTCATTGGATGTAGATATACGTAGTATGAATTAAGTGCACACATTTCACTCTACGTACGTTCACAATCACTTGATAAGCAGGATGCCATGTCTGCATGGCCCTACAGCTCAATGCTGGGTCCGGGCATGGCACAAGCAAGGACACGAATGTACGTCACAGGAAAAACTGTTCATAGGGGCTAACCCTGTACCCACGCCTCACAACCCCTCGTCGTCACCCTCAAGGCACAGCCCCCCCATGGCCCAATCCAACGTCGCCAGTGGGAGGCTGCCGTCGGCGCGCTGTGCCATCCATGACTTGAGAGTCATGGATGCACGCACCTGAGCAGTGCTCAGGCGGTGACGCTGCCAGGTGACCACGTTCCGCCCCTGGCTGAACGCCCGCTCGCTCGGTGCCGAGGTTGCAGGGATGGCAAGGTAGTCTCGTGCCATCGCCTGCAACCCCGGGTACGACGAGCGCGTGCGCCACCATTGCAGCGGACACCCGTCCATGTCCAAGCGCGCCTCCTACAGGTACCTCTGAACCTCGTCCGGCGCGGCCACTCCCGTTCTCGCCTCAACCTCTGCCATTGCCGAGCCGAGCATGTCAAACAAGCGCCCCCCACCTCGGGCCCTGGCAACACTCCTCCCCCCCCGTCCCGCGCTCCCCCTGTGCTCGTCCCCTCCTGGCCCCCGTCCACCGCACGCCTGCTCTGCTCGTCCAGGTAAGACTGCAAGCGCGCCCTGACCCATGTCACCACCTGCTCCAATGTGACGTCGCGCACCGCCCTACGCCCCCCAGCGGCCTCTCCCGCTAGCTGAGGGTGGGCCCCCTCCCACCGTTCAAGCTGGAAGTACAGCTGCTTGAACCTGGGATCCAAAAATGTCGCCACTGCCAGCTCCATGCTGATGCCGTACACATACTTCTTCAGTACCTTTAGAGCTGCCTCCGACAACAGCTTGCACAGCTCCCCGGTACTTGGGTCGTGGTAGAGGCGCTCAAGCTCATCCATGAGCAGGTTGTACTGCGGCACCACTGCTGCGGCAGTGGGGTACAACGACCCCTCTGCCGCAGTAGTGATGTCATGGAAGGGCTTGAGGAATTCCACCAGAACCCTCAGAGCGTCCCAATGCGCGTCCGCGAGGCGGACACGTGCAGCCTGTTCGCGCGTCCGCTTGTCACGTGCCGACTGTGGAATGGGGGATTCAGAGGAACACGCAGTAGCAGAGGGGGAAACTCATAGTTGGGGAGGGTAATAGGCATGGGCGGACCTGGGAGACTGTCAGCATTTTCGAATGGAATAAAAAAAAACACGCGAATTATGGGAACCCAGGAGATAGGGAACCATACCTCGAGTCTTGAGAAGTACAGCAGGATAGGATCTTTCAGCTTCAGGAAGCGCTCCACCATCTCAAAGGACGACCCCCACCGCGTGGGGGTGTCACTGATGAGGCGGAGAACGTGGCCGCCCTGACCTGCCAGTCGCAGCTGCTCGTCCTCGAACGCGTCCGAGCGCGTCGTGCTCCACCCAATGAACGATGCAATCTCCCGCATACGCTTGAGCGGCTCGAGGACTGCTGGGACACCAAGTGCCTTCTGGACCGCGAGGTTCAGAGTGTGCGCCAGACACCTGAAGGAGGAAAGTCCATGGCATGGCACGACATGGCATGGCATGGCATGGCATGGCATGGCATGGCATGGCATGGCATGGCATGGCATGGCATGGCATGGCATGGCATGGCATGGCATGGCATGGCATGGCATGGCATGGCATGGCATGGCATGGCATGGCATGGCATGGCATGGCATGGCATGGCATGGCATGGCATGGCTGCACCACACACCTGAAGAAGAATCCGGGGTTCAACACTGGTGGGTTGCGGGCGTCCTCGGTCTCCGGATCGCCAGTCAGTATCTTGAGCGCCTTGATGTTGTTCTCGGCATTGTCCGTCGTGATGCCGAGCACAGAGTCCTTCAGCCCCCAATCCAGTATGACTTTCTCCAATGTCTCTGCAATCAGCACCCCGGTGTGCGATCCCTGAATCTCCTCAAACTCTAGCAGCGCCTGGCGCAGCTGAAAGTCTGTCGTGATCCAGTGCGCTGTGACGGCAAGGAAAGCATCTTGCGCCGGGCTGGACCAAATGTCCGTGGTGAGGGAGACCTTCCCTGCCGCACCATCGCCGACAATGTCCTGCAGCTGGCGCTCACGCGCGGCTTCGCTCTGCACGAGCATGTCGCGAGCGAGGCGGAAACGGGAGCCAAGCATTTCTGCAGCGGGAGGATTGAGGAGGCGGGTGTAGCGGCGGAACTGGGGAAGGGAGGGCAAGGGAGGGGGAGGGGGGAGTAGGTGGACGTGTGCAGAAGTGCCGCTATACATGGTCGGGGTGATAATCCATAACAACACGTGGGAGGTTGAAAATGCGCAGATGTGAACGAGCGCATGTGCTTAGAAACTTGTCTCTGTCAGTTCTTACCGAGGGGCGGTCGACCAGGCGAAACGGAAGGGCCGCGTCTGCGAACAGCTCGATGAGAGCGTGGCGCAGACGCTCCTGCGTGACGCGACGACCGAAGAACTGAGGGATCTGCCGTTGACCCGCATCGACACTCGCACCCGAACCGCCCGTGCCCGCACTCTGGAGGTCGGGGTATGCGTCAGCGTGCTCCCACGGGTCTGGTCCGCCTGGAACCCCCGGGTACCCCTTCGCCGGAAACTCCAACCCCGGCTGCTTGTTGGGATCAGTGAATAGGCGATACCAGATCTGTAGGTGAGGCATGTGGAACGAGCGCATGTGCTTCCACGCCGAACCAGTGCTGCTCTCACCCCAACCAATCGGCACCTCGCATACCTTGCAGCATCGCGCCCCATCCTCCCCCTCTGGCTGAAAGAACATCCCCTGCATAAGCCCAGGGACAGTACCCCAATAACCGACTGTCACCTGAGAGCTGTCGCTCGCTCGCGACCGCTTATGCTGTCCACCCGTGCCCCCTCCCCCCCCACGTGGGGTGACAGGCCGCCCCGGCGCAAGCGTACCACACTCCGCATGACCCCCCTCCCCCACGCCCTCAGCATCCCCAAAGCGCGCTGCATCCCCACCACCGACCTCCATCTCCCCCGCACTATTACTGCCACTGCCGGCACCAATCGCCCCTGCCCTCCCCCCACCAGGTCCACCACGGCCGCGACCTCTTCCCCTCCCTCTCCCCCTTCCCCTGCCCCTCCCCCTCGCCCTCCCCCTCCCCCTTCCCCTCCCCCTTCCCCTCCCCCTCCCCTTGTCCGGTCCATCTCCTGACACCTCGTCCACCTCTTCCTCCGCATTGGGATGCCACTCCTGGTCACCCTCGCCCCCCCCCCCCCCTCCACCACCCTGCCCACCGTTCCCCCCCCCATGGGTTGCCCCATGCTCCCCCCCTCCTGCATCGCCCGCCTCCACCTCTTCCAGGAAGTCATCGTCCTCTCCCCCCTCATCCGCACGGACACCGCTCGCCAATGCAAAACTCTGGCGGCCGCTAGGGAGAGGGAGGCCTGTCAGAGATGCTCCAGGAATGGCACCGCTCTGGAGCCCGCCACCCTCAACCCTCCCGCCCCCGAAAGGGACGGGACGCCCGTCACGGTCGTAGAATTGCATGACGGGACAGTTCCGTACCCTAAACTATGCGCTACGGCAAGGATTTCGAGTGGGCGAATAGTTCGTGTAACTCTAGATCTCCAAAACCCTAACTCCCACGCGCAACCAAGTTCTCGCCTCCGTTTTGTGTTACCTAAACCCTAAGTAATGTTGGGAGAACACGTTTAGGATGCGGGGAGTGTTTAGACTAATGCGGGCGCTGTATTAAGGTGGCGCGTCTATGGTAGGGACGGAACGAAACTAGATCTGGAAAGTTGGGTTGGAAATTTCGACCAAATGGTCGAAATTTCCAACCCCCTGCAATTTAGGTCGCGCTGCTGCCGATGGGTAGCAGCGCGACCCGATTTCGGGTCGGGTATACCCGACCCGACTTCGGGTATTTACCCGAACTCGGGTATGTAATACCCGACCCGGCGGGTACCCGCTACCCGCGTCGTCGGGTAGAAATTCGGGTAGCGGGTATCAAATACCCGCCCGGGTAACCCGGACCCGACCCGCCGGGTATTTTACAGGATTTCAAATACCCGACCCGCCCTAAAAGCGGGTCCGGGTACCGGGTACCCGACCCGGTCGGGTAGTTTGCTCAACCCTAGTCCTGGGCATGTTACCCAACCCATACCCGACCCGAAAATACCCGACCCGAAGTCGGGTATAGCAAAACCGGGTCGGGTCGGGTAAATACCCGGTTTTGCTCATGCCTAGGGTAAGGGTCCTGGGCATATTACCCGACCCGGACCCGACCCGAAAATACCCGACCCGAGGTCGGGTATTGCAAAACCGGGTCGGGTCGGGTAATTACCCGGTTTTGCTCAAGCCTACCCGCGACCCGACCGGGTAAAATGCTCAAGTCTACTTGGCAATACCATTTGGCAATGCAATACCACTTGGCACTACCACTTGGCACTACCACTTGGCACTACCCTTGGCAATGCCACTCGGCAACACCACTAGAGTCGCAAGTCAAGCCTTACAACCAGGAAACACCGCTGAGCTTTGTGAAAGTCTTGGGAATCGCCCCTGTGAAGTTGTTGCCAACAAGTTCCCTGGCAAGCATCACGAGATGAGAGACGCACAAAACTTGAGACATGAGGAACCGTGCAACGTGCAAGGGTACTGCTCTTGAAACAATCAGAAAAGAACACATTGGTTTGAAAGTGAAGCAAGCATGTCGAGACAACTCAATTATGATGCACCTTGTACAAAAGCAGCGGCAAGAGCATTCTAGCAGAGCTTTGGGGAAACCGATAAGAAAGGCTTCGACATAGAGGATCAAGGCAGTGCCATTGAAAACTGACAGGGTTGTGAGGCCAGGAAGAGAACCAAGAAAAGCAGGCATGGAGCCCAAAAAGCGATTTCCTTGGAGATTACTGCAATGGCGTCAAGGAATCAACGGAGGAAGGTGGGTGGAAAGTCGTTTATTGAGCCAACAGCATATTTGAAGTAGAAAGGGGGCTGCAGAGGTTGTAGGCTGCATGTGACCTTTGAAAGAACAAGAGGATAAGCAAGAGGCTGCAGTGATGGGGATATACAGGCTGCTGAGTGAAGTGGAGAAGACGGGTGGGATGGTGCCTTCCATTCTGTTGCCCTTCAATATCCTGAACCATGCGCCGCATTAGAATGGTAGAGAACATGCATGTGCCGGAGTGAGGATTTTCTGCGACTAGTTACACTTTTGTTATTATGTGGGCAACGATTATTGGTCTGACCAAGATATAAGAATTAGGTAGCTTAAGATGCCAAGTGTTTTCTACAACAGAGACGATGTGGGACTGACTGATGTTGCTTCATTGTGTTTTGTGAACTTCCTGACTAAAAGTCCAACTTTCAGATGCAAAAAGAGGGTCTGCCTCCACACAGTGGATCGACCTCAGGTAGAATGAAGCATGCAAGATCCAAGACGAGCACTTGTAACTTGAATGTTTGGTATGTCTATGATCCACTTTAAGATGTCTACGATTCAGTTTGAGAAACATACAGTGTGGACAATGTGGTGAGGGCGGAGAATGTTGACGGGATGGAGCCTTCAATCTTGTTATTTAAAAATGACCTGCACTCCAAGTGCCACAAACACAAATCCAAGCAATCTTTGCAAGAGACTTCCACGTAGATAATAAAGTGCCAAAGCAGGACCAAGAAATGACTCCTGCTCTTGGCGTCATTTTTTAGAATTCTCAAAAAAAGACTCCTGCGCTTGGCCCATTGATGATGTTCAGACAGCAACGTGTAGCACTTCCACAGGATGGATGAACGAAAAACAAGCAGAGCAACCACTCGTGACCAGCACAATAATAGCTAGGCTAAGACGAAAGAGCGGATAGATAAAATCAGAACACGTGCAACGGGATGGAACACCGGGGTTGCGGTGCAGTTGTGCAGCGAACGAACAGGGCTCACAGAAAGGTGAGGTGGTTCAGAGAGGTCCAGTATTCAGGCAGCACGCCGACCAATCCATTGCCCGTGGCGTCACTGTCAATCAGCAGGAAACAGACAGACAGATAGCATACAACCAGAGCATTTCACAACTGGGGCAACGGTTGCGTGCAATAAATGAATTCGTGAGAACTCACAAGATTTGATTTGGACATTTGAGGCTATGCACCATGCCACTTCGCTTGTTAAAGTCATGCTCATACGTCTGCTCAGGTAGCTACCCAACGAGGAAGATCTCACTTTGTAATCTTGGCTTTCAAACGCTTCTCCTTAACTTCGTTTTGTCAATGAGCAGCTCCAACCTTCTTGCCAATCTCCATTAGAAGAAACAAATTTTCTACTGGCCCCTAACCATTTTCCTCCCGTGATTCCCAAACCTGCACTTGCTCAATATCTATGTATGCCATCCCGCCACGGCCAAAAACGTGGCCATTATCATTACTGAGGCAACTTACACAGCAGGTAGGAAGTGCACACAGGAGCCACTTACAAGTGCTGCAATTGAGTGAGGCGGGAGAGGTCCTGCGGCACCACTCCACTGCGGTAGACAGAGCGATGAGCCACATCGCTGATTGGGATGGGCAAGGTTGAAGATAGGGAGTAGGGAAACAAAGGGGGGGAGATTCGTTGGGAACGTGGCCTTGTACGTAGACATGGGCAAAAAAAATCGCATCGCATCGCATTTAATCGCGTTTTTGCGATGGCGATGTTTTTTTTTTTTTTTTTTTTAAATCATCGCGCGATGCGATGAATTAATGTCGCGCGATTTAATTTAAATCGCATTTTAATCGCGCTAAAAAACGCGATTTCAATGCGATATGCGATTTTTTTAAAATCGCGTGCGATATTGCACTGAAACCCACTACGAAACCACGCTGGTTATTTGCACTCTAGCTTACGACTGCCCGTGAGTCAAATTTCCTCGCAGCCATGTTTTTTTCCTGTTTTTTTGGGTTTTTTAAATTCTGTTTTAAAACGCGATGCGATTTAATTAAATATCGCATGCGACTTTTTAAAACATCGCGGGTAAAATGCGATTTGCGATTTTTTTTTTTTTTTTTTTGGAAAAATAAATCGCGCGATGCGATTTAAAATCGCATCGCTTTTTTAAACATCGCACCTGCATGCGATGCGATTTAAATCGCAATCGCGTTTTGATCATGTCTACTTGTACGAGTCTAGTCTAGGGGAGGCACCACGACAAGATAATATCCAACTGTAACCTAGCAACAAATGCATGATCCTATTTCCGTGTTGAGAACTAAGTGTTGAAATGTAGTGGGGGCCTGGAGTTAGACATGAACAAATCGTGAGGTGAGCATTACTTGAGTTTTTCCCTAAAGTTTGCCTCGTTACTCGTCTTTTGAGGCGAACCTTTTTTTTTACTCGAGCCGAATATATATATATATATATATATATATATATATATTTTGTTTTTTTTTTTAACCCCAACGAGGCAAGTACTACTCGCCTCGCGTGAATGCAAAGCCCCCTAGACCCCTGAACCCGCAACTTCTAGTCCGCAATCAGGCGAGTAAACTCCGAGTAATCGTTTTGATTCAGGGGTGGCCTTCCCACTATAGTTGAGAACATCGGGGTATCCACGAATACAGCCCAACCCCGAACCCTGGAAAATAGACACGAGAAGAGGGCCGAGCCGCGGCTCGGCTTGTCGGCTCGACAAGTGACAATTGGGCTTAGGCCGAGCTAAGCTGCGAGCCGAGTCTCCCTGAAGACGAGCCACTGCTGGCTCGTCGGCTCGACGAGCTTGACGCGCTCGACAGGCTCGACGGGCTTGACGGGCTCGACGGGCTCGACAGGCTCGACGGGCTCGACAGGCTCGACGGGCAGGATGGGCTTGATGGGCTCGACACGAGCGCCGTGCCGGCTCGCTGGCGACCAGAGCATTGAGTCATCCTGGTTCGTTTTCCCATAAAAATCGAAGGCAGTTCTGCCTAGTATTAATTTATGGGCATTATTGGAATTTAGCACTCCACCCTTGAGTACGCCTCCCACCTCACTCCACTCCAAGATTCCGGGTTTCCCAGGAAGAAAATGTTAGAATCCCTCCATGAGAACACCCTCTTCAGGGGAACATCCTGGTTGTGACTATTATGAATGAAGGGCATATTGTGCGGCCGAGCCAAGGGTAGCTCGCAAGCCGACCCGGCTCGGCTCGAGGCAGCCCCCGGCTCGACTGATTTACATGAGCCTCGAGCCGAGCCAAGAGCTCCTCAGCTCACGATGAGCTTTGCTCGGCTGGGCTTGTAGAGAGGATGAGCCGGGCAGAGCTCGTGCTGTGCTCATGCCTATCCTACAATGTCTAAAGGTATATTGACCACTTCATTTCATTCATCTAGTCTTATCCATCATACGTAACACATGCCGAGGAGGACACAAATCAGCATGCTCTAAACAAGCTGAAGGGGCAAACATGCTTGAGACAGAAAGGAGGAAAGAATACTATGGTGTGATACGTACAGGTAGCGTAAAGATGTCAAGTCCATCACCCATCGGGGGAATTGGCTAGACAACAGGAAGTGTAAGTCCCTGAAGAATGTGATGGAAACATGGATGGAGATGCCGGTGGATGATGGCACACAAGAGCAAGATCCATCTATCAACAAAGACTAGAACATGTGCACCTGCCAGATTGAAACAGACAGCTAGGCATGTTCAAAAGGTGGGCCGAGCCTCTGCTCATCAGGGTCGGCTCTGACTCGCCCTGCAAGCAAGTCGAGTCGGACCCGCCTCGGTCCAAGTCGGGCAGCCAAACAACCCGACTCGTGACTCGCCTTTTGGGGTCGAGTAAAGCCCGACTCGACTTGTTCGACATAGGCGAGGGATGAATTATATTCTAGGTCCTGCGGTCCCCTCGGTTGACGTTAGATCCGCACGGATTAGTGGGCGAAACGACCCCGTACGTGCAGATCGGGAGGCGAAATCGACTCGGTTGATTCAAGATTAACAAATGGATGGATGTCAAGGCAAGACAAGAGAGGAAAGTAGACAAAGAAGAGCGCTCACAAGTAAGTGAGGGAGGTGAGGGTGCCAAACGCCACAGGCAACTCCCCGTTCCAGTCGACAGCCGATATGGTGCTTGAAAGATGCAGCAAAGACGAAGGCACACAATGATTGGAATGGCACAGGGTGTTGGGGAGTTGGGGGGAAGGGCATGGCAGCACTGACACAGAGGAGGACCAGAAGCTATCCAAGAAATGAGAAACAATGATGAGAGCCTCTAGGAAAAATTCAGAAGCTTTTCTCAACATCATCGGTAAGCGGTATGGGATCAAAGAACCCAGCAAAGTGAGATGCAAAAAAAAGCTCTGGCAAAACGATGACACACAATTCCGCCACCACTTCATGCTGCCAATGTTGGTGCAACCGTATGGCTTGCACTCGGCTTGTCATCCTTGTTAGTGTGTGCATGCATGCATGGCGTGCAATGACTTGTGAGTAGACATGAGCAACGAGGCGAGGAATTCCTCGCCTCGGAATTCCGCGATTTGAGGAATGGTTTTCCCAAAAAATCCTTGGCGAGGAATCCTCGCCTCGCCTCGCCGAGGATTCGAGGACTCGGAAATTCTTGGGCGAAATTGGCGAGGATTGTATTTCCTCGCGAGGAAAAAATCCTCGCGCCACTTTTTCTACACGGATGTTGGTTAGTACAAACAGTGGCACGGGAGCTAAGTGGGGGAATTACGAATTACAGATTGGAGCTCCCCCTCTGCTCTACAAATCTTTGGTGAGTGCTAGTCGTAGAGCAGAAAGATTGGGTTAGGGAGGTGATGTGAGATTGAATGTGGTAAGAGGGAGGGCTTTTAGGTTTGGAGTCCAAACCTGACAATGTCAAGCTGGTTAGGTTGGGTTAGGGAGGTGATCTGAGATTGAATGCGGTAGCAGTGGTTTTTTTTGGGTTTGGTTTGAATCCCAAATTTGATAGCGATGTCATATTGGTTAGGTTGGGGCTGCGGAGGTACTGTGAGATTGAATGCGGTGGGGTGGGGGGAATTTGGAGGTTAGAGAGCTTCATACTCAATGTCGAAATAGCAATGTGCAGAAAAACGGGATGCTCGCAATTTGCCCGAATCACATAGGAACAACAACCCCCTGGAGGCGAGGAATCCTCGTCTCGGATCGAGGAATTTTTCCTCGGGGCGAGGAAACAATTCCTCGCCTCCAAAATCCAAGGATCGAGGATCAGTTTTCCCCCAAAATCCTCGGCGAGGAATCCTCGCCTCGTTTGCGAGGTGATGGTTGGAATTCCTCGGTGAGGATTCCTCGCCTCGCCTCGTGCTCATGTCTGCTTGTGAGTATATGACATTGCCATTTAGTGCGTGTGTGCGTGCTTGAATGGTGTATCACACTGTTGTTTGTGTCAGTCAAGACATTAGCGAGTTTTTGCTACTCGCGTGCCAAGTCGTCGTTTGCGCATTGCATGCGTTTTTCCTATTTTGTGGAGTGTGAGTCGTTTGTCGCGTTACAGGTGCATGCAGCAACCTACTTTGACTCCAAGGAAGATTTTATATTGAAGACGCACAGCAAAAGTCCAAGAACCCAAGCTCTCTTGAAGAAACAATGTTGCCCATGAAATGGGCAAACACCAAGATAATGAAAATAGTTACGCGGCATTGCCTAGTGTTTAAGGTTCAGGGTTTAGGGTGTAGGTCCTTTGTTGTGGGTTTAGGGTTACGGGTTTAGACTTCACTTGGTGTAGGTCTTTTGTTGTGCTGTTTCGAGACTCTTCAAGGGGTTATGGGGGCCTGGACCTCGGCTCATGGGGTTTCTAGAGGTTGGGAGTAGACATGGGCTCAGGCTTGAGCAACGGGTCGGGTCGGGTCGGGTAAGCCGACTTGACCCGACCCGACCCGACCTGACCCCGACATCGGGTAGGGCAAAGTCGGGTCGGGTCGGGTCGGGTCGGGTCGGGTTCATGCTCAAGCCTACATGGGCTTAACACCGAGCCGGCTCGGCTTGGAGTCGGCATGGCTCGGCTTCAAGCCGAGCCGAGCCGACCTTTTTTTTTTTACGAGACGAAGCCGGCTCGGCTCGGCTCGCTGAAGCCGAGCCGCCGGCTCGGCTCGCGGCTTCACTGAAGTCGAAGCCGAAGCCGAGCCGAGCTGAAGCCCGGCTCGACCCGGCTCGGCTTCCGGGCGACATTAACGCTGCGATATAACTTAGTAGAAACGCGGGTTCTAGGCTAGGAGGTTGTGGCGTGCTTAGCTAGGTGGCGGGAATTGCATGAGATACGGTGCTTAGCTGTTAGGCCTTGTCGCAAAACAGGAAGGCAGGTGAGGGGGGGAGAGTGTCGCATAAACTCCAACCTTCCCCTCATAAAATCCAAAACGCGTTTTATGAGGGGAAGGTTGGAGATTGTAGACGGGGAGGAGTTCAGTGCGGTGAAAGGGAGGGAGTTTGGTTGGAACTGTTGGAGTTTGTAGACAGGGAGGAGTTCAGTGCGGCGAAAGGAAGGGAGTTTGTTTGGAAATGTCAAAGTTTGTAGACGAAGAGGAGTACAGTGCGGAGAAAGGGAGGGAGTTGGGTGGTCAAATTTCGACCTCGCGGGAAACGTGACTCTCATTTGAGGGTCGCGTTTTCAGAAACCCTAGCCTAGCCGCCCGCACCCTAGCTTCAAGGCTTCAAAAACGAGCCGAGCCGAGCCGGCTTGACTTCGGCTCGAAGCCGGCTTCACCGAGCCGAGCCGGCCAGTGGCTGAAGCGAGCCGAAGCCGGCTCGGCTCGGTTCGGCTCAACTGAAGCCTGGCTCAAAGCCGGCTCGGAGCCGGCTCGGCTCGGCTCGGACTTACGCCCATGTCTAGTTGGGAACCATCCAGATCTCGAATCTTCTTCCTGAGTTGTACTTCTAAGACTATAGTGGCTAGACATGGGCTTAACACCGAGCCGGCTCGGCTCGGATCCGGCTCGGCTCGGCCCGAGCCGTTTTTTTTCTTTTGCGAGCTTAGCCGGCTCGGCTCGGCTCGCGGCTTCACTGAAGCCGAAGCTGAGCCGAAGCCTGGCTCGACCTGGCTCGGCTTCAGCGCAGCGCGAAGCCCAGCCATGTAATTAAAAAAAAGGGGGGGGGGGCAGGGTTGAGCAAAATACCCGCGCAGGTCGGGTACCGGGGATCCGGATCCGCTTTTAGGGCGGGTCGGGTATCCAAATTCCTGCATATTTCCCGGCGGGTCGGGTCCGGGTAGCCCGGGCGGATATTCGATACCCGTTACCCGAAACGTTACCCGACACGTCGGGTAGCGGGCACCCGACCCGAAATCGGGTAGCGCGTCTACCCGACGGAACTAGCGCGACATTGGTTGTGCTGGTAGAGAGATTTCAGCAAGTCTTTAGGTTACGCGAGTGGCAGGGGTTGGATTTCGTAGATCCAGATGGTATTCAAAGCAGTTGAATTGGGGGAAAGTGGTTGGAATTCAAACCAATCGAATTTCCCAAATCGAATTTGCAACCCAACCTGAATCCAACCAACCGCACAGCACCACATTGGTTGGACTTCCAACCAATTGACTGAGGGTCAAAGAATCGAACCCCCTAAAACCGCACACAACCCCATCCCAACTAGAAAACCCAACCAACTCCCCACTCAGGCCCCACTCACGCCCCAGTCACCACATCAGAATACTCAATATTGAATACTCAATACTCCCTCAATACTCCCTCCCCCAACTCACGTTTTTTTAACACTATCTTGGTCGTAGGTTTAGTAGCCCAACAGGGTAGGAAAACGCGGGTAATACTACCCGCTTTTCAAGGAAACCGGGTCGGGTATACACGGACCCGTCAGGCGGGTATTAAACTACCCGCCCCGAAATCCCGGGTCCGGGTATTGGTCCTGGGCATGTTACCCGACCCATACCCGACCCGAAAATACCCGACCCGAAGTCGGGTAGGGTTGAGCAAAACCAGGTAATTACTCGACCCGACCCGGTTTTGCAATACCCGACCTCGGGTCGGGTATTTTCGGGTCGGGTCCGGGTCGGGTAATATGCCCAGGACCCTTACCCGGTCCCGGCCTTAGGGGACGGGTAATACAATACCCGCGTGGCGGGTCCGGGTATGCCCGACCCGGTTACCCTGAAAAACGGGTATTAGTACCCGCCTCCTACTAGTGGGCAACCTAAAAACGGGCTAGGCTAGGTAGGGTTTCTCAAATGAGAGTCACGTTTTCTGAGGGTCGAAGTTTGACCACCCAACTCCCTCCCTTTCACCGCACTGAACTCCTCCCTGTCTACAAACTCCAATTTCCAACCAAACTCCCTCCCTTTCACCGCACTGAACTCCTCCCTGTCTACAAACTCCAACATTTTCAACCAAACTCCCTCCCTTTCAGCGCACTGAACTCCTCCTCGTCTACAAACTGCAATTTCCAACCAAACTCCCTCCCTTTCACCGCACTGAACTCCTCCCCATCTACAAACTCCAACATTTCCATCCAAACTCCCTCCCTTTCACCGCACTGAACTCCTCCCCGTCTACACACTCTAATTTCCAACCAAGCTCCCTCCCTTTCACCGCACTGAACTCGTACCCATCTACAAACTCCAACCTCTTCTCAAACTCCAACCTAACTCCCTCCTTTTCACCTCACTTAACTCCTCCCCATCTACAAACTCCAACTTCTCCTCACAAATGCTCCACTCGTCCCTCCTCACCTCCCAAACCGTTTTGCCGCAAAACCTAAATCACAGCGGGACTTACGCCCATGTCAAAATGGAGTACCCGACCTCGGGTATTATTTACCCGACCGGGTCGGGTACCCGTTACCCGACACGTCGGGTAACGTTTCCGGTAACGGGTATCGAATATCCGCCCGGGTAACCCGGACCCGACCCGCCCAAAAAGCGGATCCGGGTCCCGGGTACCCGACCCGGTCGGGTATTTTGCTCAAGCCTTAAGTCGGGTATAGCAAAACCGGGTCGGGTCGGGTAAAAACCCGGTTTTGCTCATGCCTAGGGGGGGGGTTTAGGCTAGGAGGTGGTGGTGTGCTTAGCTAGGTGGCGGAAATTGCGTGAGTTACGGTGCGCTGTTTTAGGTCTTGTCGCAAATGGGGAAGGGAGTCGAGTGGGAGAGAGTGGAGTAGTTGTGAGGAAAGGTTGGAATTTGTAGACGAGGGGGAGTTCAGTGCGCTGATAGGGAGGGAGTTGGCTATGTAATTTTGAAGCTTGTAGACGGGGGGGAGTTCAGTGCGGTGGAAGGGAGGGATTTGGCTGGAAATTTTGAAGTTTGTAGACAGGGGGGGAGTGCGGTGAAAGGGAGGGAGTTGGCTGGTCGAAATTCGACCCCCTACGAAACGCGACTCTCATTTGAGTGTCGCGTTTTCATAAACCCTACCTAGCCGCCCCGCCTGGCTTCAGCGCTTCAAAAACGAGCCGAGCCGAGCGGGCTCGTTTTATGGCTCGGCTTCGGCTCGAAGCCGACTTCACCGAGCCAAGCCGGCCTTTGGCTGAAGCGAGCCGAAGCCAGCTCGGCTTGGCTCGGCTCGACTGAAGCCCGGCTCGGAGCCGGCTCGGCTCGGCTCGGTGTTAAGCACATGTCTAATAGTGGCTGCTGTACCTCATGTCAGTCAAACCATCATAGCGTCTTGATTTTGTGATGAACGACTTTGTGTGAAAAGAGGGAATGTAAGAGTAGTTATGAATGTAGAGTAACATGCTAGACCGCAGATTGAAGTGAATATCAAGTAGGAAGGAACACACGACGAGGATATGCAAGAGCTGACTCTTGAGTCGACTCAAAAGTCGGAGATTGAAGTGCGCATCAAGTAGGAAGGAACAATCGTAGTTATGCAGGAGTTGACTATTGAGTCGACTCAAAAGTCCGAGATTGAAGTGAGTGTGCGTATCAAGTAGGAAGGAACACACGAGGATATGCAGGAGCTGACTTTTGAGTCGACTCAAAAGTCAGAGATTGAAGTGTATCAAGCAGGCCCAACTTTTGAGTCGACTCAAAAGTCGAAGAGTGAAGTGTATCAAGGAGGTAGGAACGAACACGCGGGGATATGCACAGGATTGGGCATGGGCAGGGCAGTGAGCCCGGGACACGTAGCCTAAAACAGAATACCTGAGAGGAAGTTTGAGCGGCACGCATGCAGCACTTGTGAGGACACAATAATGAGTGAGACTGGATGGAGTGGATGAAAGAATGTGCTTGCAAGTAGATGCCCGGAGAGAGTGTGAGGCGATAAACGGTTCCTCTTCCAGACTTGCTAGGGAACACCAAGGTTAGCTGCAAGTCTATGTGCATAAAGCAGGTTAGTTAGCCTGTATGTAAAAGATCTTGCTTGCTTGTCTCTTTAACACTCGCTGTGAGAGTCTTGTGAACAATCGACACTTTCGAGGAGGCTATCGATGATTCCGTGAGGCATCACAAAACAACCGAGGAAAAAACGTGTTGAAATAGCAAACTATATGCCCATGAGGACAAGGAAGAGGATTGGGCAGGAGGCAAGGAGAGTGAAGGGAGGAAAGCAAGAAGGTGACGAGTGTCAAGAAGAGGAAAGGCAGGGCACGGAAGGCAGGTGTGCCTATCAAAGTGCATTTTGAGTTGACTCAAAAGTCACCAGGGCAGGGCAGGTGTGCCTGTCAAACTGCCCGTACCTAAGATGGTGTATTGACTAGACCTTGGAGCTGTGCACAGCCATAGAAAACGAGAGAGGGGGGAGGGGGGAGGGGGAGGGGGAGAAACCGAAGTTGCTACACCACGCAACCTACAATATCCTCACTCGAAGGCTTACAGGCTTTGCATGGCTTTAAGAGTGGTAAGGAAGGTGAGGGATGGCAGATCCCCAGTCACAGAGCCAAGGCCATCCAGCACACTGGATGGATGGTGTGTTGTGGGTCGGGGGATCACGGTTGCAAGAAAAACAGTAGTTTGATTTGAATGCACAAATACTTGGTTGGCGATGGTTGGTTGTTTGAAGTGCAAAAAGGAGGAGGCACTATTGCCAGCCAGCCACACAAACTCTCCACGCTGCAGCTCACAGACCGGGATAAAGGCCGAATTTCAACCCTGCCAAGACAATACCTATGGCCCATTCACAGGAACTCCACTCAAGGGTACAGACGGATGGTGCATGGGAGCAGCCTTTTAACAACAAAAACTTGGAGGAGTACAGTAAAGTACCAAATTGATATACTTAGCTGCAGCAAAGCCATGCTACAAGGAGTGCTATGGTCAAAGGGCATTATAAGGTCTTATGCATGTGTGCAGCATTGCACAGTTGCTCATGGTTGCACACGGTTACACAGATTGAGCTGCAACAATGCATGGCTGATTGGGGGTACATGCAAGGCAACACCTATTCAACGGTTTTGGCAATGAGTGCATAGGGAGAAAGGCACACAGTGCATGCACAAAGGGAGCAAGGCAACCAGTACAGCGTATACAGGTTCCATTATCCATAACCTACAGCGTATGCAGATTGGTGAGGCTTGAAAGCCATGAGAGGTCCTCCACTCGCCCAGTGATGTTCCATGCACCAACGTTGCTGAAAGAGGGGAAGCGGGAGGAGGGGAGGAGGGGAGGAGGGGAGGAAGGGGTAATCAAGGGAGGAATGAAGGAGGGGGGTGATGGGGAGAAATGAGGGGGGTTGTTAAACATTTGGAAAGCAAGGAGACGGATGTTGGTTGGTCATGCTAGTGATCCATGTTTAGGGGCTAGGAACATTAGCTCGGCACATTTAGATAGCATGCCTTTTCTTCACACGCAGTAGTAATGATGACGATACCCGGTGGCAATGATGGCAGCAGTGATGCTAGTGACGATGGCAATGGAAATGAAGACAGGAACACAGAACCCACACTTGATGCATAGCATGAAGTGCACGGCAGCAGGGATATAAGGAGCGGCACGGCAGCAGGGATTTACAGAGAGGGGCAAGGCACTGACAGGTATGTGAGGAGAGAGAGGCGGCTGAGAGTGGATGGTAGGCTGTCAGAAATCGAAGTGGCCGATACGTCTCTGTTTCAGGGATGGATGGAAAGATGGTCGCGGGAGGGCGGAGCAGGAACAGGATTATTGTTTTGGGGCGCACAGGGGAAGACGTTTCAAAGGGCAACCATGCATCCATCATTCCATGATTAGCAACAGTTGGAACTGGAAACGAGCACTAGAGGGGGGATAGGGCCAGCGGTAAGTACAGGTAGGAGAGTGCAGGGAGGGCAGAGAGAGTTAAGGGCAGAGCGCCTGAGATTGACGTATGGGAGAGGTCCCTGGGGTGGAAGATGGGTGGTCGAAAGAGGGTGTGCATTGGAGAGATATCACTTAGGCAGCAAGGAAGATAGAAAAAATACAAGAGACTGCTGGGGTAGATGAGAGCAATACAGCCATTGTGCGGAAAGCCAGGACAGGGGGTTCGGCGTACGGTCGGGGGGAGTTGGAGAGACAGGGAAGTAGGCTTCAATGGCTTCAACATGTTTACTGGACATGAAAGAGCAAGGTCACAGCAAGCCAGTGCACGTGTGCAGGTGTGCAGGTGTGCTGCGCGTTACAGTGGCAGGCGGGCGCAGTGGCATGTGTGGGATGGCAACGCTGACTCACAGCACACGCAGGGAGGAGGGCAGAGAGAGGTGAGTGATGGAGCCGGAAAGCAGATTGTCTGACAGCACACTGAGGGGATGGGATTGGGGAGGGGGGGAGAGGAGCGGATTAAGGCATGTGGAGTGCCAAGTTAGTAGGTCAAACACGTCGTTTTGGATGGTTGGGCTCCTGGTTGCTCGCTGTAACAGATTGATGGCAAGGAAAGGATTGAGGAACAAGGGGGGGACGGGCTGGTTGAAAGTATAACGTTGAAAGAGGGTGATGGTTAAAGAGCAGGCTGGTTGCATCACAAGAAGGTACTCAAGTGAAGCGAGAGGGTGAGCTGAGCGCATCGCAAAAAGTGCAACGTTCACAGATCGTTTTCACCATTCGAGCTCGGGCATAAAGTCGGAAATCGTCCGCCAAGTGTTCGCCAAATGTTTTTTTCTCGTTTCTTTGCACGTAAATGATTCGCGAGTCTTCTGCGGATGGGATGTTATGCGAATGAGTTGTTTTGTGAATGTTACACCTGAATAATAAACATGTTCCCGTGTCTTATATTTGCATAAATGATTGGTTTTTGTACACTTAAACTTCTACAAAGTTTTAAAATTGTGCATAAGTAACTGAAATATAATAATATATAAAATATGTGCAATTTGCCAAAAAAAACTAACTGAATCCAACCCCAACCAACTCAACCCATATCTCACACGCTATTCGAGGTTCGGCGAGACCTGTAACCAGGCTGGGTTACGCATCTCCAATGGGTTGCGAAACCCAGATACCACGTCCTAACCCTATGCACCGTGAGGAAATTGAACAACCCCCTTGGGCATCAAAAGGGGCCATGCGATTGGTCGAAGCCAAACAACAACAATCGCAAACCCAACCCACAGCCTGCTCCCTCGACGGCAAAAACGACTAAGGGAAAGATGGTAGCAGATCTCGAATTCGGGATCTGTAATTTTCTCGACTTGCCCTCGTTTCCTCCTAGATCCATGCTCATGCGTAGCCATGCTAGAGAGTTGGTAGCGACTTATAAGATGGGATCGAGGCGACACCGTTGTCAGGCTAGTGAACGCGGATATCAATTGAGGTTCTTGGCGCGCGTAGCCTAGCCTGGACGAAATCACCAGCGCCTGAAAACAAGGGCAGGAAACAAATGACGAATCCCCCGCTGCTAACGGCCCACCGTTGCGGGCCGCTATAGCTTCCCGCCGCCTTCGATCTCCTCGTACGAAAATGCCACCCGCGGCTTCCCACATCGTGCTATCCCTGTCCTCGCGCTTCCTTGCTTCCCAAATCCCCGCTTCCCGCTTTCGAAAGCACGTCCGCATCTCACCTTCACGTGCTGCAGCATCTCGCTGTCCCTCGCTTCCTTCCACCCGCTTTCACCCGCGTCCCGCTATCGCTTGCTCCCCGAATCCCGCTTTCCCATGCTCCTCGCATTACCTTGCTCCCCGCATTCCAATGCTCCTCGCATTCCCATGCTTCCCTCATTCCCATTTTCCCGGCATTCCCATGTTCCCCGCATTCCCATGTTCCCCGCATTCCCTTGCTCCCCGCATCTCGCTTTCCCATGCTCCCCGCATTCCCTTGCTCCCCGCATCCCGCTTTCCCATGCTCCCCGCATTCCCATGTTCCCTGCATTCCCTGCTCCCCGCATCCTGCTTTCCCATCCTCCCCGCATTCCCATGTTCCCCGCATTCCCTTGCTTGCTCCCCGCATCCCGCTTTCCCATGCTCGCTGCATTCCCTTGCTCCCCGCATTTCCTTGCTCCCCACATCCCGCATTCCCATGCTCCCCGCATTTCCTTGCTCCTTGCATCCCGCATTCCCATGTTCCCCGCATTCCCTTGCTCCCCGCACCCCGCTTTCCCATGCTCCCCGCATTCCCATGTTCCCCGCATTCCTTGCTCCCCGCACCCCGCTTTCCCATCCTCCCCGCATTCCCATGTTCCCCGCATTCCCTTGCTCCCCGCATCCCGCTTTCCCATGCTCTCTGCATTCCCTTGCTCCCCGTATTTCCTTGCTCCCCACATCCCGCATTCCCATGCTTCCCTCATTTCCTTGCTCCTTGCATCCCACATTCCCATGCTCCCCGCATTCCCGTGTTCCCCGCATTCCCTTGCTCCCCGCACCCCGCTTTCCCATCCTCCCCGAATTCCCATGTTCCCCGCATTCCCTTGCTCCCCGCATCCCGCTTTCCCATGCTCTCCGCATTCCCATGCTCCCCGCATTTCCTTGCTCCCCGCATCCCGCATTCCCATGCTCCCCGCATTCCCGTGTTCCCCGCATTCCCTTGCTCCCCGCACCCCGCTTTCCCATCCTCCCCGCATTCCCATGTTCCCCGCATTCCCTTGCTTGCTCCCCGCATCCCGCTTTCCCATGCTCTCTGCATTCCCTTGCTCCCCGCATTTCCTTGCTCCCCACATCCCGCATTCCCATGCTCCCCGCATTTCCTTGCTCCTCGCATCCCGCATTCCCATGCTCCCCACATTCCCGTGTTCCCCGCATTCCCTTGCTCCCCGCATCCCGCTTTCCCATGCTCTCCGCATTCCCTTGCTCCCCGCACCCCGCTTTCCCATCCTCCCCACATTCCCATGTTCCCCGCATTCCCTTGCTTGCTCCCCGCATCCCGCTTTCCCATGCTCTCTGCATTCCCTTGCTCCCCGCATTTCCTTGCTCCCCACATCCCGCATTCCCATGCTCCCCGCATTTCCTTGCTCCTCGCATCCCGCATTCCCATGCTCCCCGCATTCCCGTGTTCCCCGCATTCCCTTGCTCCCCGCACCCCGCTTTCCCATGCTCCCCGCATTCCCATGTTCCCCGCATTCCTTGCTCCCCGCACCCTGCTTTCCCATCCTCCCCGCATACCCATGTTCCCCGCATTCCCTTGCTCCCCGCATCCCGCTTTCCCATGCTCTCCGCATTCCCTTGCTCCCCGCTTTCCCATGCTCTCCGCATCCCCTTGCTCTCCGCATCCCCTTGCTCCCCGCATTTCTTTGCTCCCCACATCCCCCATTCCCATGTTCCCCGCATTCCCTTGCTCCCCGCACCATGCTTTCCCATCCTCCCCGCATTCCCTTGCTCCCTGCACCCCGCTTGCCCATGCTCCCCGCATTCCCATGCTCCCCGCATTCCCATGCTCCCCGCATTCTCATGCTCCCCGCATTCCTTGCTCCCCGCATCCCGCTTTCCCTTGTTCCCCGCATTCCCATGCTCACCGCTGTCCCATGCCCCCGCTTTCCCATGCTCCCCTCATTCCATGCTCCCCACATTCCCATGCTCCCCGTGCTCCCCGCATTCACATGCTTCGCGCATTCCCATGCTTCCCACATTCCCTTGCGACCCGCACCCCGCTTGCCCTCGCTAATCCGCTGCTGCCTCTCTCCCCTGTTTCCCGCCACCCGCTTCCCCTAGCTTCCGGCATGCCGCTTTCCCCCGCTTCCTGTTTCTGCCATTCCCCCCTTTTCACATCCCGCTTTCCCCCGGTAGCGACTAGCGCTTCCCGCTTCACCTCGCGGACCGCTTCCCGCTTTCCCTTGCGGGTCGCTTCCCACTTTCCCACGTTGTAACGTGTTACCCGCTTTTTCGCGCGCCGCAATCCCCTGCCTTCTCATTGAATGAAAACAGATAAAGGTTCAAGGCGCAGCAGCAGGGAAGAAAGCGAGGCCGCAGGGATGGGGAAGACAACAGATAGTAGCAAGCGGGAGAGGCGAGAGGGGAGGGAGAGGGGCACGAGAGCAGTGGAGGGGGGAAGGCGTGAGAGCAGGGAGGGAGTGAGGCATGAGAGCAAGGAGGGAGTGAGGCACGAGAGCAGGGAGGGAGTGAGGCATGAGAGCAGGGAGAGAGTGAGGCATGAGAGCAGGCGTGAGTGCAGGGGAGGGGGAGAGGCGTAAGAGTAGGGGAGGGGGAGAGATGGGAGAGCATTGAGGTATGAGGTGCGTGATAGGGGGGGATGTGGGAAGGCGCAAGAGCCATGGAGGGAGCGAGAGGTGAGAGAAGGGAAGGGAAAGAGGGGTACGAGTAGGGGAGTGGGGAAAGGGAGAGTGCAGCCTGGAGGAGATGGGGAGGGGAAGAGGCGTGAGGGCGGGGGAGGAAGAGGCGTGAGGGGCATGGGAGGGGGAGAGGGTGTTAGGGTAGGGGAGGGGGAGTGGCGTGAGTGCAGGAGAGTGGGGAAAGATGGATTGCAGTGAGGGTAGGGGGGTAGGAGTGAGAGCAGAGGAGTGGGAGAGGCGTGAGGGCGTGAGAGGCAGGGACAGCTGGAGGAGATGGGGAGGGAAAGGAGCATGAGGAGAGGGGAGGCAGATACGCATGAGGGCAGGGGAGAGGGAGATGCATGAGGGCAGGGGAGGGGGAGAGGCATGAGGACAGAGGAGGGGGAGTGGCATGAAGCAGGGGAGGGGGAGAGGGCAGTAAGTGTGAGCGGGATCCCGGCAGGACAGGCAGTAAACACTCTATAACTAACCCCTCTCAACCCCCCGCCCCCCCACTAACGTATGCCTCCCATCTCTTTCTCCCCCCCCCCCCCCCCCCCTCCCCCCCCCCTCCCCTCCTCCCCGCTCTCTCGCAGCCTACCGGGTGGCACATGATTGCCAGTCAAGCTCACCTTGGACAACCTCTCCGTTAAAAGCCAGACTTCACCCCAAACCTATCCACTCACTCCCCTGTGCATCTCTCAACAAACCACATTCTGTGGGTGATCTCCGTGCGGCCACGCATTCAGACATTCAGCCGTTATTGGCAAATGCTAACCATGTCTCTTCTCTAGCATCATCTACGACGGCTGCAGAAAATGGAAATTATGTAACCCTACATATGTGAACGACACCTTGTAACTGAGTTGGTCCAGGGTTGTAAAGCCAACTTGAATTTTGAGGTCCCTCAAGTTTGTTACATTCTTCCTGCCACATATATATGCGACCTTTTCAGGTTATGAACGGCTTGTCGGTCGTTCTGTAAGAGTACATGAACTTGGCACCAATTTTGGCAACAAGAGTAGCTTTTTATCTTTAGCATAAAGTCATATTAGTCTAGATACATTCAGAAAGTCAAGTTCCCATGGAAAGCGATTTAATCTACTAAACAAATCCAAGACACACACTGAGATATATCGAAAACGTCTTAGCATATATAGTAACAAGTGTTGGCTACAACACCTCCATCCAACCACCAAGAAGGGCGTAGTCCAACGGAATCGGTGCAAAACACGGCTTTATGAAATTTGTGAATACCAAACTGAACCGAATTGAATCGCAAATTACAGCGTGCTATAGAGCGCGCGGATTTTGGGATCCAAAATTTCAGGTCCTATTTGCTTGATATTCGGGTCTGTAGAAACACGCCCCTATTCACAAAATGACGTGCTGACCAATCACACACCCTTTGCCCCCACCCTTCACCTGCAACCGAACCCAACAAAATTTATTCATCCAACTCAGCCCCTGCACCTCGTCCAACCAATCAAAATCTGCCAAGTGGTTCCAGAGCGGCTAATCCAGCTCAACCACCTGCTCGCCCCAACCACCCAGCCCACCACGCTGCACCCCACATGCCAGCACTCCAGCCCACCACACACTTCTGATCCCTTCCTTACTTGCCCCCTTGTGCCCTCTCATGCCTTCCAGCTAGACGTTACTTACAATAATAGCCCTCGGCAGTTCTATCTGCATCAGTTTCAGCTCCCATTCTCGCCTTCGCGCCCCCTAGTGAGCAGCTCCTTCCTCTCCCACAGGCTTCGATTACCATGGTCGTTCTTAGTGCGCCCTATGCTGAGGATCTCGTTTCACGATGGTCTATCGTTTCAAGCAGCTCGTAGGTGACTAGTCTTGTTCACCCATGTCATTCTTATCTGCATGTTCATGAGCTAATGCGCCATTGGGGGGGCGGGAGAGTAAGGAGGGGCGAGGGGGAGGAGGCGGCACGCAGAAGCGGTATCTTCGGGAGGCGGGGCGCCTGGCGGAGTACCTAGATGCGCGCATGGAGGCGGCCACCAAGTGCGCGGACGCCAGCAGATGCGAGCACGGTGGTGAAACATCTCTTCCCTTGTTTCGCTTCTCGCCACTGTCCTTTTCCTCTCTCCTGTACTCGTTCCGTCTATGCCCGTCTCGATCCCCCTTTCGTGCCCTCTCTCCCTTTTCGCTCGTCCCAGCTGCTCTTTCTCCCCCTCGCCCCTGGAGCTGTGCTTGCCATGTGTGTGCTTGCCACGTGTGTGCTTGGCGCAGCAGCGGTGCGGCGTGACTCGTGCAGAGAGGCATGGCTAGTAGTGTGTGTGGGAAGGTGGAGGGGCAGAGCGGAATGGAGAGCATCCGCTCTCGTGCACTCCCCTTCTCACGCGCATGCCCCATCCATCCGTCCATCGTGTGTGCGCTGCAGGTTGGGCACAGCAGCAGCAGGCCCGAGGAGCAGTGAAGGGGGGCATGCTGGCGCCATGGGTGGTGCGCTGCCAGACGACGTGAGCGCCATGGCGTATGCGCACGACCTGCCACCCAAGGTGCATACATGTGCCTTGCTATATGCATGGCGGTGTGAAGCCATCCCTGGCAGCCCATCCGTGTGCCCTCTGTTCTGCCTGTTGCGTGCCCATGCCACCCCTTTTGGCTCTTGCACGCCACGCCTCTCCATGCGACCTACCACTCTCCTTGCCTTTACTCACCTCTTTCTTTCACATGGCTGCATGGAATCACATGGCTGCATGGCATTGGCATGGCGCATGGACATGGGTGCATGGCATCACATGGGTGCATGGCATCACATGGGTGCATGGCACCATGGGTGCATCACATGGGTGCATGGCGTGGGTGCATGGCATCAGGTGCATCTGTGGCAGCACCACGAGTCTCTCTCCTCGCGCCATCTCTCCTCCTCCCTCGCCTCCCTGCACCGTTACTTCGACTACAGGTGAACAGTCATGGCCAGGCGGAGAGGGGGGGGTCATACAGGTGCCACGGATGGGTTGCTGGAGTAGAGAGGCCCATGAGAGGCATTCGCAGGCACGTGCGAGTGTGGGGGGCAGTGGGAAGGGCCTGCTGCATGACAGGGCAAGGAAGTGTGGGGGAGAGTGTGGCGTTCGCACGTTGATACGTGTGATCGTGTGAGTGTGCTGTGCACGCGTGGCCCTCATGGTGAGGCAGCCACGAGGAGTGCAGCCACCACGAGGAGTGCAGCCGCCACAAGGAGTGCAGCCTCCATTCTGTTCTTCCATGTCTTGTGCGCTCTTCCCCGACTCTTGCGCACACCGTCACTCCACCCTCCCGCTTCCGCCCCCTGCCACCCCCTCCTCTCTCCAAGCAGTGCGGGCGTGACAGCGGTGGGTAGTCGCCCGGCGTCGGAGTGTGGGCGGGGCGATTCCAGGCGGGGCTGCTGGTGGAGGGCGCCATGCACGCACGATACGGGCACACACAGCACGCCATGGGGGTATGAAGGCATTTGTTACTTGACGTATCAATCAAACTAATGATTCGCATGTGTCCTCACGATGCTTGTCTTTATCGCAGCTAGCTATGTAACTCTGTCCAACATCGAGATAATTCCCCATGTAAGTCCAATTGTAAGTCTCGCTGGTCATTTGATCGTCGGACTAATTTCACAACAATGTCTCGTATGACGTGCAGAAATTTGTAGCCTACCACGAGCTATTTCCTCCGGTAAGCTGGCTCTTGTAATTGCTATCGTATGGAATATAACTAATTTGATTACAATGTTTGAACCTAATGTGCAGGACTCAATATCCAGCGTCGCGCTACTTCGTTGTTGTAAGCATTGTCCTTATTGTTGGTGATTTCGACCTTGGATTAATTTCGAGATAACAAGTTCTGAACGTAACGTGCAGGAATTCCAATCCAGTTTCAAGAATTGCTGCTCCTGGTGTGCCGCCGCTCAGTTTCTCTTTGTGTTAGTGCGGGACCCACATAGGGGTGCTGGTAGGCAAGGGCGGTTGGGCCATAGTGGTTGTGTACTGTGGTGTAGATGTTTTTTTTAATATATCAAATAATTTGCTTGTTGCATTATAAGTAAATCCAAACGAGGCATGCCCTAATTGTACTGAACCATGCCCAAAAGGGTACTGCAGCCTGCAAAAACGGATCCATGAAAAACACCGCCAAACGTTTGCAACAAATCATGCTGAATACTAAAAATGGTGAGCATAAACTTCTCTATGCATTTACATGTTTACTGCAAAAGTTGTAGAAAGAACACCGCCATGCATTTGTAAACGAACCACGGAGATTACCGAAAAGACACCTCTAAGCATTCGCTGTCGTGAACCAAAAAGTGTTTCGGGAAATGTTTCAAGCATTCGCCAAGTGTTCTAATCTAGTCCGCCATGAATTTTCACCCACATGTTCGCAAAACGTTTGCAAAGCATTGCGCGAATGCTACGCAATCGTTTTGCGAGCAACATTTTTTGCGAATGCGAGCCGAAGAGATCAAAGAGAAGGGCACTGGGGGAATGCAGGGGATGAGGTGAGAGGAATAATCAGAGGAGCAGAGCAACGGGCAGGGAAGGAGGGATGCAGAGAAGAGGAGACGTGGACTTACAGGCGTCTGAGTTGTGGCATGCGAGAGAAGATAGTGAGCGGCATGGTTGCATTGACAGCACCTAACGACAGGTCACTGTTGGAGGAGGGGTTGGGGGTGGGGGGGCGGGGGCATGTGTGTGCACACCCATCCACGGGCTTACATTGAAATGCACACGGGCGCATGTGAATGGAATACACACGCAGGTTCACAATAAATACGCATACCGAAGAGATACAAAGCAATACAATAAAGGCCAAAACAGTACAAGACGCCCCTCCCCTCCTCCTCCCCCTTCCCTCCCCCCAGAATCGCTTGAGAACTTTTGGTGGCGGTTAAACTTGGGAACGCGATATAAAACGTGTTCCTAGACCCGAAATTTAAAACCCTTAAGCGG